ACCTTAACTGACTGACTGAAAGCATCGTTTACTTGTGGATTATTGTGATGTTTTCATCAGCTGTATGAACTCTCATTCTGACGGCACCCATTCACTGCAGAGGATCCATTGGTGAGCGAGTGATGTAATGCTAAATTTCTCCCAATCTATTCCGATGAAGAAAATAACTCATCTATATCTTGGATGGCCTGAGGGTGAGAATATTTTCAGCAATTTATTTTTTATTTTTGGGTGAACTGTTCCTTTATTAATTAAAGGTGCACTCAGTAAATTTGTATCTGCGTTTAGCTGGTTTGATTTAAACTGACACTTTGTTGTCCACTTATCCTCATTCTGTCTGAACAGGTGAATTGCACACATCCTGATCCATACCATAGTGTGGACTAAGACTCCACGCTTGCAGTATGTATAATGTGTTTGTCGTTATAATGTTTTGTGTGCTATACCTTGTAAAGAGCACTGGCTGAAAAAGCTCTATAAAGCGAACATATTATTCGTGTTGTGAGTAGCTAATCAGCCATTTTCATGACACAACAGGTCACATGATATCAAAAATGGCATCATCCACGAGGTGGTGACCCGCTCCATGTAGATTAAATCAGCTTTTTAATTTTTTTATTTTTTAATACTAAATAAGTGTTGTTGTTTTTTTTACTTTTTTTAATACTAATTTATCTAGAGCCTTTATTTCATACGACGTATTTCTCTCAAATGTGCTGTTAATTTTTCATATTTTCTTTGTAAAACATTTTTAATTAGCAAAAATTACAGCACACACCTTTAAACTGAGCCTATGTTAGTTGTATTAATGTTACTGTGTAAAATAACGAAAACTTTGCATTCCCGTTCAATGATTTGCATGCTTTTGAAGCAATGCTGTCACATTGCACCTCTGGCCTCCAGTATGTGCTCAAATCACTTCCTACTTCCACTCAACAATCTTCATCTGACATGAGGAGGATAAAACATAAATGAAATTGTATTGCAGGTTTAATATTGTATTACTGCATTTTGGGCAACATAATCACACCAGTGTACCTAAATGAAATATCTAAATGCCATGTTTACTTACGTTTAAGACAAATATAATGAGCAATGGGAGGCAACTTACCCTAAAGTGCTGATAAATCCATTCACAGTTCCCTCTGCATACAGAGACACGATATCCCCAATGTGAAGGAAACAAAATAAGTGTTCAGACATATCTGCAAATGTTTCAGTAGTTTTTCCGATACTTTAAAACCCTCTGATCCAGCGCAATGTGTCCAGTCGACTCAGTGTCTCAACCCACTTGTTTCTTCGCTTTGGCAGTAACACATTTTAATAATCCAGCCGCCCGGAGAAGAGATGTGCTGAGCCCTTGACTTTTGAATTGTGATTCCTCTAACAGTGGCGTTTCTTCATATTTTCAACTTCTTCCCGTGAGACAAACGAGGCTTTTTCTCACCAATATGCCACTCGAGTGGGAGGAGACTCGCTCTCTGTCCCGTGAAATCAAGGAAGTGATGCTGTCTGTCTTTAATGCTGTGGTATGCAACTTGTGAGAATGCAACTTTTGTGTTTGCGCATTTGCGCAGTCGTGCTTGCACTTGCGTCGGTGGTGCACAATTATTCCGGAAGTTTGTCGTCAAACTTTTTTTGTGTGTTTTTTTGTTTTTTTTATGAATGAGTTTATACGTTTTTTTGTATGATGTAAAACCCTTATTGGAGCATTTCATATTATTATTTTATATAATATATGCACTTCAGTGAAGTGTCCTCCAGCTAATTGTTTGTTTAGCTTCTTTTTTAATTATACATCTCCAATTATAGATTTAGCTAAATAAATAAATGCATAAAAATATTACTTTAGAAACCATTCTGCTTTCACCATTATATGAATTGCTTCAATTTTAAATATTTAATTAAGCAGATAAAAATAGCCTAAACATGGTCATAAACCTTTGTGATTTTTTGAATGTATACCTAGCCTATATTTAAAAAATATACCCCTTGTGTTTGTTTGTCTGGTTGATGTTAATTTAATGCATTTTTGTGCTATTTGAAAAAAAAAAAAAATCCTTATCTGATAAAGCAAACGAATGTTGCTAACATTCTTCTGAGTATTTTAAATGAGATAGCTTTGTAACCTATATAAAAAAAAGTTACTTAAAGGTCATATAACTTGTGTCTTTGAATAATCTATAGACCACCTTTGCATAATCACAGAAACAACTGTTTGCTTATCAGACATGAGCAAAGTCTTTATTTGTAACTTACCTAGGAATAATGACAGAAATGACTGAATAATGGTATTTAAAATAATATTACTGATTAATGGATCTAATGTCCTAATTGAACTATGGCCTAATCCTGGCCCTGTCTGTGAAACCAGGGCTGCGTTCAACCCGACAAAAACGGTGCAAAACGTGTGCGAGCTGTCTCTTTAATACCGCGTGGTTTACATACATGTTGCTGCTGATTGGGCTGACATGTTTGACACACCCACCAAACAAGAGAAAACGCATCTCAAACCCCGTTGCACACCGTTTCCAGGAAACATGTCGTTCAAACCGGAAACCGTAGCAAAACGGTTTGAGCTTGAACTTGCCCCAGGCCTTGAGCTCTTAACCTAAGGTTTGGTTAAACTCGCCTGCACTGCCATCTAGTGTCATGAGAATGAAAAATTAAAATAAAGCCACATGGTCACATGGTTGGTTTTGTTTCTCGATTACAACTGAAATTTGGTTTCATAATGTAACAAATACAACTTCACAACCACTTAATATTTATTAGTTTACAAAGAAAACACTCCTTACATTTTATTTTCATCTGCTACTACAGTAGGTGATGTTGCTTTTAAGATATTGTCCTGTATCTAGGTCTCACACACTGCTTAAACATTTAATGTTTTTATATTTCTGCATTTAAATCCCATATATGTGTTTAAAGTCATCAGATGTCCAAGTTCTCCTCACTATAAGACCAGCAACAAGCCTTTTTTTTATTTCAGTGAATGAATGCGACTGTATTCATAACTCTACTATACTGTACTGTACTATAATCATTGTGTCTATGAGTTGTCCCCACTTACACAGCTAAAGTTTGCGTGTGTGTACCTGGTATTCCCTACAGTATAGGGACCAAATGTTTCCACAAGGATAGTAATTTCAGTAAATTTTACCCTTGTAGGGACATTTTTGGTCCCCACGAGGAAAGCTATAGGAAACAAGCTATATAAGTTTGTCTCTCGATAAGCGTTTTCCTCCCGTAGAAAACCATAAACACTTAATATGGCTTAATGCATTAAACCAGTGGTGTTAAAAGACCAAATTCGATATTATTAATATAATGTAGTCTATACTACAAGGCAAGCAGATGGCCAGTATATGAACACAATGCGCAAACTTTCACTTTTCCTCCCATATGGCAAAACGCTGAATGTGGCATAACGGAGTAAATAGGGCAGGGCCAATGATGATAAAGTACATGTCTCAATCTTAGGTTTGGTTAAACTCGCCTGCACTGCCATCTAGTGTCATTAAGGTGAAATAAACAAAAGTCACATGGACACACGGAGGGTTTTATTTCTCGATTATTAGGCTACTGCATTTTGTTTTCATAATGTAATGAATTCTCTACTGTCTAACCGTTTACAAAGAAAATCTATTTTTACAATTTTACTTGTGGAAATGGTTAAATCGTGACCTAGATAAGATGAAACTAACTAATGATAGAAATTCTTGAATGCAGCTCTATGATGAATGTGATGTTTCAATTCATCGTCCAAATGATTTAACTGAATTAATTATTTAAGTGGTTAATTAATTAACTTTTTAGATAATAGTTAAAAGGTTTTTCAAAACATAAACCAATTACGAGGATGTTTCTTGCCACATGTTTTTTGAAAATATATTTTACAATCACTCATCCTAATTATCACTGACCCTATTACAACGTCAAATAACTAACTATAACCAACTAAACTAATTATAACTGACTGATCCTATAAATAATTCAATAAATAACTTAGAATAGCAACCTGTCTGATTAACCCTATCACATGGTCACAGAAAGGAAAGCTAAAATGCTTGACATTTGCTCAGAGTTTCCGTGAGGTTACAGCTCATGTGAGACCGACTACGACATTTAACCTGCCTGTTACCTGTCATTTACTTTCTTACCTATCTCTCTAAAGAAACATGAGGTCATCACGCAGTTCGGGATTACACTGCTGCTCTGTGCACACCGCACACACGCATATATATCAACACAATACAGCTATGCTCCACCTTCATTGACCTTAGGCGACAAGGCAGCAGAGCAGACCTCTCTCACACAATACCAGCTGAGCCCCACAGCCCGTTCTACAGTACTTTTTTCATACGCTTATTTCACTTTAAACGGAGCTGGATTCTGTTGTAAAGTGTAATATTTTGTGGATATATAGCCGGTGTGAAACTCTAGCAGAGACATTGTATATTTGGTCCAGTTCTTTTCCCTCCAGCAGCCCGAGTCTCAGATCACCCGGGAACGACTAAGCGGTAAGTGGCACAGACTAGAATAGAATCGAGATTTACAGTCAGATATTACTGGTTTGTCTAAAAACATACACCTGCGACTCGTCTGCATCGATAAACGTTTGTGGTCGCGCGATTTTGCCTAATAGAAACAAAGTAAGCTAAGGTATTTTACAGCATGTTTCACAACAGCATGACTTTAACTGTGGTAAATAAAGTGGATTTTTAAAAAATGATCTTCACCGTAAACCTACACTAGTTGGCCATGTCTGCTAGAGCAGGATCAGGTGCCTTTGTTTCCCACGCTGCACTGTTACAGTGATGGTGCGAGTCAAAGTTTCTTTATCTAATGCACAACGATAAAGCATGCTGTAATTAAATGTAGGCTAATGGTTCAAATGTACTGTAGTTGGGTTATAATAAAAGGTGCCTTTTGTGTTTCCCATGAAAACGACAGTGACAAAACATGTTTTTTATTATTAAAGGCACATTTTTGTTGTCTTTCTGTATGAGGATGTGTCTTGCCTAATTAAAAAATTAAGTATTTATATATATATATTTAGATTTAGCACTCTAGAACTCACCTGACCTTAAAATGTTAACCCTTTTACTATAATCTGTGAACAAAAATGATTGTAAATTTGATATTCCTAAAATTATTACTGTAAAATCACTTTATTCACTAATAGATTAAAATCTATTTAAATCACTTTATTCTATTTTCTTTTAGGTTGATCGGTAACACTTTACAATAAGGTTAATTAGTTTAACTACTTTAGTTAACATGAACTAAGCATGAACAAAACTTCTACAGCATTTATTAATCTTAGTTCATATTAATTTCAACATTTACTAATGCATTATTAAAATCAAAAGTTGTGCTTGTTAACATTAGTTAATGCACTGAATTAACATGAACTAACAATGAAAAACTGTATTTTCATTAACATTAACAAAGATTAATAAATAGCCTACTGTAATAAATGTGTTGTTCATTGTACATGTTAGTTAATACATTAACTAACATTAACTAATGGAACCTTATTGTAAAGTGTTACTGATTGATCTTATATAGTCAACTCTTAAATCATGATTTCGTATCATAAACGATTAATTGCCAAAAACTAGATTTTTGTAGAAATATCAGCATTAAATTCCCTTTCTAATAATCACCTTTTAAATTCATGACCTTCAGCACAAGGCTTGTAATGACTAAATTAACTATATAACTATTAACAATGTTACTTTTTGAATGTAGCTGATGGCACAATTAGTTTAGTAACATAAAGGTGTTATTTTCTGATATAATGTATATAAATGAAATGTGCTTTTAAAAATCACATTTTTGAATGGAAAAGGCACTTATTTCATATAATAACCCAGTTTCTGCAGGCTCCACAGAAGAAAACCAGATCAAATCACATATAAAGGCTAATAGTTAAAAGTTAGAACATGAACATAAATGTATAAACATACATAAGTATATATGATATAAAATGCATAAGTATATATTCAATATTATGTGTGCAAAATGGACTACAATATAGACTCAGTAATATCACTTTAAGCATGCTGAATGATAAACTACAAAATTCCTATTGAGAATGTGGTAGAAATAATCCTCCTGAATTATTGAAAATTGCAATAACGTTCAAAGGGGCTTTCAATGTCTGGGTGCTTAACATCATAAAGTATTGGTAAATACAGATTAACTCATTTAATCCCATTTGTGAACACAATTTACGTTGGAGTTTGAAGGGTCTAAAAAGAGTTGTGTTATACACATCAACTAATGATGAAAGTGCAGGTTTTCTGGAATTTATGTGAACATGATTTTATCATTCCCCTTTTCACCACAACTGATTAGTAGGGGAAAAAATGAAATTTTGTTACTTTATTGTTTGCAGTTGCAGTTTCTCACACTTAGCTTGGGAAATTTTGGGATTAAAGGGTTTAAAATCGGCATACTCTACATGGCTAGTTATGCAAGAGTTGAAATAAACTTAGTGGCTGGCTTTTCTAATAATTTCTTGCTTTTCAGAAGCTCCAGAGACATGGATTTTGGGATCGGACACATTTTTGTGGGAATGACTCCAGCCAAACTTGCATCTGATTCTTAATCAGTCTTCTGTTGTTGGATATAATGCCAGATTACTCAAGATGACGGAGTTGAATTATGCTTTCATAAGCGAAAACGGGAAGGAAGTGGATAAAACTTTGGACTGGAGTTACATAGACTGGCATAAAAAGAAAACGGTCAAAGGGACGGATGCACAGACCCAAACCCAATGCGTACAAAGTGAGGACAAAGACACACAAACAGCTAGTCCTTTCATAATGCGAATAGATTTAGGAAGGACGCCCTCCAGACTGAGGTATGGTTCCCTTACGGAGTCTGACAGCATGCCAGCACACTTATTTCAGTTTGATAGACAAGCCCCAGCCCGCATCTCCACGTCCCCCACTCTGAGGAGAATGAGGAGCACGAGAATCTCCTACCGAGATCCAAGCAAGTCGGATGGTCCTTTAGGAGAGGAGTCTCCCACTCCCACGAGTCCCCTTTCTCCATTATTCCGGCAGAAATCACCACTGGCGGTTCAGTCGGATGGAGAGAGCGGGAACTTTGAATCTTCAGTGATTCATGGGACAATTAGATCACACAGATCAAAGACCATTGACAATGGCGTCATTTGCAAAAGCAAAGAGTCTCATGATTCAAAAGAGCCAGTTTCTGATGATAATGAGAGCACAACCGATGACAGTGACCAGGTATACAATGAGTTCAAGATGTCTTAAATAAATTAATTAAAAATGTGATTAAAAAAAAAAGTTAAAAAATTTAAAATGTCTTTTCTATTATAGGTTTTGCATTCCTAACCCTAAATATATATGAACAGTAAATATGATACTTCACTGAAACTTATTACATCTATCTAGCGATCTGAT